CCCCCCCCCCCCCCCCCCCTCCCCCCACAGGATCATAGAGCCTGTATACCTTACTCTCGGGTTCGTAGCCGATGAAGATGACCTTCAGCCCCTGGGATCGAGCTTGGTGAGGTGGGGACGCGCGATCTTCATGTATGCGACACAGCCGAACACTTTGAGATGATGTACCGATGGCTTCTTATTGTACCAAGCCTTGTGTGGCGTCCTTCCATCAAACCTTCGTATTGGCGGCTGATTGAGGAGGTAGACGGTCGTCATTACCGCCTCTCCCCAGAATCTCCCAGGCATCCCGGCTATCATCACCCATGACCTTGCTTTCCTGACAATGGTTTGATTTTGGCATTCCACCACCCCGTTCTGCTGGGGGGAGTAGGGTACCGTTAGGTGCCGCTGCATGCTGAGCTCGTCGCAGTACTTACCGAAGCACACCAAGGTGAATTCTCTGCCTTGGCCCATGTGCAGCACTCGCATCTTCTTCCAGCATTCGACATCCGCTCGCGCTTGAATGCGCTTAATCGCCTCACTTTTCGCTTGCAGGAGAATCAGCCGTGCACGTGCTCTAATGGCTCATCGGCGCAGTAGGATGTCTGATCCCCTTCTTTCCTGCTCGTGCACCCATGAGATTTTCACTGTTTCTTGTCTAAAACGACCTTGTTTGTCGACAGCTGAAGCAACATTCTTCTTTTGCTGCTCGACGTTGCGCAGTTTGACCAATTGAGCTATGCGTTGTTAGGTCGACGTTCTAACCAATTGAGCTATTCAACTTGGCTTTTGATAGACTTGGCTTCTCCACAATGATATATCCACCGGTAGATGAACCTAGCTCTGATACCACTTGTTATCTTTGACTGAATGAATGTGAGGAAATCGTTGACGGAGGAAAAAAGCCGAAGGAAATTTGTTGGAAGAAGAAAATAACAGAAAAACATAAGAGAGAGTATTTCAGATTCTGCTTTGACGACTCTAATGATCTTATTTCTCATTCAATTGGGATATTTAAATAACAATTATATCCTAAAAACGGAAAGGAGTGGCGACACAATTAAAGTCAATACACTGGACATGTACATCCTACTAACTTTAATTGCGTGACTTTAACTAAAAAAAATAGTAACTAAAAATAGAAAGAATGACTTTTAACCTAAAATAGAGATTTATCTAACATCCGACCACGTAGTACCACTTTTATACAGCGGGAACATGAACCATTCGTCTCCCTCTCTCCCTTCGTCTCTCACGCACTCGTATGTGTTTGTATCTGATGGGCAAAATGGGAGTGGATAGTTTTGGGTGGAGAAAGACATGGGCATGCCTTTAGGAATGGGTGCCTAAGAATTCTAGCGTCTCACCGGAATTCTCGTGTGTTTTCCAACGACCACACAATTTGTTTTGTTTTGTTTTTGAATCCTTATATTCCTTCTCAATCATTGAATACAAAATACAAATAAATCTTTAAGGAAAGTTTTTTGTACTTCATAAATAACAACTAACTAAGCAATACACCTAACTTTGTTTACTTGATAGTAATAGTAAAACTTATTTGAGAGGAGAAAATTGTAGCTTCCAAAAAAAAATGTATATTTATACGGAGAGAAAAGCCACTTACAAAAAAGGATCATGGTCAATCTCAAAAATTTGATTTAGCCGTATCTTGTCCTAGAAACACAAAAGCTAGTCTCTAATCCAAATTCCAAAATTGATCCAAACAACTTCAATTTTCAAGCTTCCCAATTGTTTCCTTGTTTCAAAGTTTGTCCTAATTCTAGGAGGGAGGGAGGGAGAGAGAGACAGAGATTACTATTTCTAACTAAATAATAGTAATGAAAAAAAAAAAACAAGCTTTAATGGAGAAATGAATAAATAATTAGCGTTTTTGTTTTTTTTTTTTAAGAAAAAAGATGGAGATAATATTAAAAAGTGGTATTAGGTTGAGTAAAGTAATCCAGAGAGAGAGAGAGAGAGAGACGGACATTAGCAAAGCACGAGAAGCGCAGGTGGAAGTGTAGAGACATTGACAAAGCACGAGATGTTCACGTGCAACTCTGACTTGTTTGTTTCTTTATTCCAACCCCACCATTATTGTTTATTACACAAAACCCCCACCTTCTTAGCTGTCTCCTAAATTTAGTCGTAGTTTACGAGAATTGAAGCAAGAAAGGGAGGAACACAAGAAGAAGCAAATACTATTTTAAAATAAATATATACATAAACTACATGGTTTATAAATAGTATTTTAAAATAAATGATTATGTAAAGGCAAGGCTTGGTTGGTGAGTAATAAGAATAATAAGCTTATCATATCATATCACACATACTAATAATAAAAGAAATTGTGTAGTGGGTGACCCATTTGGGTGGTGGGTGATGACACAAGCAATAAAGAAGAGAGAATGAGATATCTAGAGAGAGAGAAGATAATAATATATAGTTTAGTTAGTATATAGGGGGGCTTGTGGGGAATTGGGAAGTGGGGTCTGTGAAAATGGGAGTTGTCTGGTGGGTTTAGGGGACAGAGGCACAGGGGTTGGATGGCCCATGCCTCGCCCTCCCCTTCTTTTGGTATAAGAACACAACCCATTTCCCCCAAACGCCTTCAAACACAAACCCATTTCAGAAGAAGGAGAAGCGGAAATGAAGATGAGCTTGAACGGCAGCGGAAGCTCGAAGAGAAGGATTTCGTGTCCGAGTAGAGGATTTGGAGGAGTTCTTAGAGAGCAAAGGGCTAAGCTTTATATTATTAGAAGGTGTGTTGTCATGCTTCTCTGTTGGCATGACTAGAACTACGGAATTTGTGGAGTGTAAATAGAAGCACAGATTTTGTTGTTACAGATTTTTTTTGGTTAGATTTGGGCTTGTTTTGGGTGTATAAGATGTGTAAATTTAATGCCATCAAAGATGAATTTCTTGGGTTTGGTATGGGTTTTGTTGAGGTTGGCCTCCATCAAACTCACCACATATTCCGGGTTTAGTGCTTTACACACGATCTTCTCTCTCTCGTTTCAGACATTGATGATGATGATGATGATGATGATGATTCAAAACCCCAACTGAAAATCATCACCAAATAACTACTCTTTTCTACTATTGTTTCTGTCTTGTGTCTCATATTGGTTATCTAAACTTTGAAATTAAAATAATAAATTATGAAACTAGTTTGAAAAGGAAGGCGTTAGAGAATGGGTTTAGGGTTTTATTATTAATTTAATATAACAAACCCAAAGCCGTTGTTTGGCAAATCGCAATCGCACTCCCTATGGCTGTGGACTTTTGTCTTTAGCAGCGTTGGGAATCTAATACCCGAGTCCCGTGAATTGAAAATGAGATCATCCAAACACGCCCTCTTTTTTTTCTTTTTCTTTTTCTTTTTTTTTTTCTTTTTTATAATAATAATAATAATAATTAATTTAGTGGTCAAAACTCGCATTGCAGGGGCCCGGGGTTTATTGGAAGCCAACAGGCATTCACGTGTGCCACGTGTACTGTCGTCATGACCCCACTCCCAACACTATTCCGCTTTGTACCTTGTGATTTTTACCCATTTTACGGTTTTACCCCTTCGGCGAGTTTGTCTTTTTTTTTTATTATCAAAATTACCCTTTTGTTTAATAATAAAAAAGTAGTATTTTATTTTGGCTAAATCTTAAAAAATACCACTACATTTTTATTTTAATAATACCTCTAAATTTATTGTTAAACTTTAAAAATATTTAAAAATATTAGAATTTTATTTCAATAATATCCATGAATTATCAAAAGTTTTAGGAGTATCTTTCATGTTCCAAAAGCATAAAAAATACTCTTATTATTAAATTTTGATGGAAAGCATTAAATTAGGTTTCAATGTCCTTAACTATACAAAAGAATCAAACTAATACATTTACTCCAAAATGTTTTCTTCTTTTTTTTTCGGTAAATTCTTTCATAAAATTTAATGAGAATGAATAACTTATTAGCACGCTTTTAAGCTTCATTTGATTTGATGACAAATTCTGACACATCTACTGATTCCATCTTCAGGATTTTGTTTTTCACTATAAGATACGAAAATACTCACTCACCGATTAACACAATTATTTAGGCTAATGTGTTATGACAAGTATAATTATATCTACAATTTAACACTCTCTCATTTGTGAAAATTGGTAGAAAACTCAACAAGTGTATATTAATATTAAATAAGGAGGAAAAGTCAACTTTACGACGGTTCAAAATGAAAATATCTTACTCTTATACTATGTTAAATAACATTTTAACTAAAAAGGATAAGCTAATGAGTTATGATAAAGGAAAAACGCTAGCTAACTAGCGTGCCATATCTTCCTATGTAATGGTGTTGTGAAATTATTCAATATAATATTTTAACTATATGAGTCTAAGTTTTAATAAGGTAAGTACCATCCTAATATTTGTATTCTAGTTAGCTTAATTATCACGAATGGAATGAGAAAGAAATATAATTAAGTATTCAATTTATGGTTATAAAAAATGAGGAGGTGGCTACAAGTTAGAGTATAAGGACGTGATAATTATGAAACAATTACTAACTCCCTCCCCTTTAGGGTCAACGTGACCTTTCAAGTGCTACGGAGTTGGTCACTAGCCAACTCTAGACCTTCTCTCCTCTCTAAACTTGGTTTTGCTTAAGGGATAATCAAGCCTTTCTAAGAATTGGTTAAATCCTAGGCTCGACTGGATAAGCTATAACAACCCCTTGAGACATTCATCAAACCTGCCAAGGTCGAACTCTTAACGAGTTGACCACTTTGGCCTTTTACTTACTCTTTCAGGGTTTGACCCAATAGGCATCAGCGAAAAAATTTGGACCGACCATTGTAGGGTTCGATCAAGCTCAACTTGCAAACTCTTGGGATTGTATAAGAATGTAATCCTATAACAATAAATGAAATCACATTTAAAGTATCTTAAAATTCGTGTTACACAATGAAACTTGATTTATCTTAATGTGACATTCATTGAAATTTGAGTTTAACTTTAATGAAATTTGATTTCACTAAATGTGAGTTGACTTTATCTTGGAATAATTTGAACCACGTTTATTTTTTCCTTCTTTAAGAGGTCATCCTTGAATCATGGTGTGAAATATTGTTGCAAAAACAATTGAAGAAAACACAAAAGACATCACAACACTTGTATTTTTGCATTCAAGTAGCTCATAAATGCATTCAATTTTGAGAAAACATTTTAATTTTAAATATCACATTTAGCCTACAGGTCAGGCTGGATGGCTGTAGTCGGACGTCTAGAGGTACAATAACCATCGTGTATCATGCCAAACATGATGTTCATCATCATAACATATGCATCTGTACTCATCATAAAAGGGGAAGTATCTCGATGTAAATGAACATTAAATATGAATGAGGTCTCTATATTTTGCGTCTTAATCATTCATATAACATAACTCCACACATTCTTCACATACTACCCTAGGTAACATGTATACATAAGTTTTCCTACATTGATCATACATAACATTACTTAAGGGTTGTACATCAAAGAATTCTTTATTATCATTCATGTCAAGCATGTCATATCATAATGCAACATAGCATTCCACACATGTATATCATTGTAACATGAGATATCATCATACCATGTCATATCATCATACATCTCATGTCATCATAGTATACTACATCATCATCATAATGTATCATAGCTTCATAGTACATCACATCATCATAACATATTACATCATCACAACAGCGTAAGATCATAGCATATCACATCATCATAACATATTACATCATCATAATACATCATATCGACATACATGACATGTGTAGAGACCACGTGTCATCATACACAAAACAAGTCTTTCGATGAAGCCGATAGTAGGACCACTTACTTGGTTGGCCTTAGTTGGCATTCTATCTTATTTTCTGAGATTGACTCGATTTGTTCCTTGAAATTTGTGTCAACCTATGAGGGGTACTCCACCATATTAGCAATATCCTCTTAATTCTTTTAGCATCCCTACAACTTACATAACTACTTAAATTGAATAAACGAAACTTATACTAACCTTAATTGCCTTAAATAAGGTCAAAATCAGCTTCGAGAGGGTCCAAAACCTAGAGAATAGTGTCAAGAATCCAAGCCCCTAGCTGAATAGGTGATTTTTAGCCACTAGAGTCGATTGAGACAATGGGAGGACACATGTCACACATGTGTAAGGGAGCGCGCGCAGGTCGTCAAATGGGTCGACTCGTACTCACTCTCTCGGTGTTCTCACATTCTTAGAAGGTAAGTGGGCAGAGTGGGGTTTAGGTCGATTTTAAAAAGAGAGCGATGTGGGCTGGGTCGTGCAGATATCTGGTGGTTGCCCTCACTGAAAATTGCGAGATTTTCAGGGAGGGTTGATTATTCTAATCTTTTTTTTATCCGTTACCATGATCAACAAGATTCTTTAAGAAAGCTTTTAGGATTAGATTTGGGTGATTGAGAATCTCGAGAAATTGTGCGATAATGATATTCAATCCTTGGATATTTTTGTAAGATTTGATTGGCTATGATCTTGTCTTTTAGTGGTGCCCTCCTTATATTCGCTCATTATCGAATTCATCTTTGTCAATGATGGTTGTAGTTTATATTGTTACTTATGATTCAAGTTGTTTAATTCTTAGCACGACACAAGGTCATTTATAACAAACAATGTCATCTGTTGTAGCTAGAACGTAGTTAATTAAGTTAATAATTAATTTGTATTTATCAAAAAAAAAAAAGCACCGATGTAGTGCTATGCCATACACACTATGATGCTTGGGTTAGAATCGAGTCTGTGATAGACTTGTATATTGATAGCATTTACTTGAATATTCCAACCCTATTTGAGAATCTTCAAAAATGTTGATGGGCTAACAGAATATAATAATTACAAAACAATTTCTGAATCCATTCATTTTAAACTCAACATAAATCTTTAAGAGTGTCACTAACCAACTCAACTTTTTCTTTCGTCCTTTTATATAATATATATATTCCTCAATTCTAAAATCTTAAGAACGAAAATGTGTTAAATTTTTAGAATAAAAGATAGGGGAGTTTTTAGTAGATTAGATAGTGTAGGCAAAATAAAGTGATAGAATAAAATCTACCGTTGTTGAACTAATAAAATCTACCGTTGTGTTTTTTTTTTTTTTTTTTTTTTT